GGGGGGGGGGGGGCAGTGGAGATGCCTGGGCCTCTGCCCTGGACAGGCCCTCACTGGACTCCATGTCTGCTTCCTCTGGAGGCTGCAAGGCTGTTGGTTGGAGGGAAAAGAATAGGAGCAGCATGGTGAGAGGCTCCAAGACAGTCGGGATGCGACCGTCTCCTCTGTGGGACTCAGTCGCATGGGGCAGGGTGACCTTGCTCACAGGGAGGTGCCAGTGGCAGGGGACAGAGGCGTCCTGGCCCTGGAGTTCAGGTCAGGCTCAGTGGGCGCTGGAACCTTAGTGGGCAGCTCTGCCGAGATGGGGCCAGAGGCCAGTGCAGAGCAGTCCTTTCTGCTCTCCCTGCTTCCTCTCTCCCCTCCATATCCAGGTGAGAGCCCATCTGGGAGTCATCTCACTGCTGTTACTACCTGCTGGAGGGGGTGACTGGCATGGGGGTCCAGGGGGCCGGGCCCAAGGGGAACTTTGGAGCAAGAAGAGGCACCTCGAAGGCAGGGTCTGACAACACAGTCTGCCAGGCTGACCCCAGCCTAGAGCAGAGCCACATGGGCAGAGCTCAGGGACAGTAGGGGCTCGCAGGGTCAGGGAGCTCAGGATAGGGCAGCCAGCAGGCCTGTGGGAGGGAGAAAGCTGCCATCACCTTAGGGGTGCCAGCAGAGGCCGGCCCAGGATGCTGGGTGATGGCATGGGGTTGGACCTGTGGGGGGCAGCCACACACATCAGTGCTGAGTGAAAGGGGCTTAAACCAACAGGTGGGTGTCGGGTGGAGAAGCAGGAGAACCAGACTGAGTCAGGCCCAGGATCCCCCGCTGCCAGCTGCCGCCAGTTGGTCATTACAAGTCAGTCAGCCAAGCACTGACCATGCACCTGCGCCTTGGGGGTGTCCCTCCCCTTGTGCCTCGAGGTGCTTCCAATCATGGACCCTTGTCTCACAGACTGGAGTGGCCACAGCCGTGGGAAGGCAGCCTGCCGACCCCAGGCTCCGTCGTCCCTGTCGTCTTGCCCAACACAGCAGACATCCGTTTCTCTCCCTTGTCTGAACGCCAAGTCCCGGGGGAAGTGGTGTAACCATCCTGGCCCCACCGCTGTGAGCCAGAACCCCATTCCTGTGCTCAGTTGGGGAAACAGGCCGCCCTGGGCAGTGGGCAGCAGCAAGTCAGGGAAGGGCGGGTGCCCGGCCGTCGCGCCAGCCTTGTAGCCCATTCTCCCCTCGCTTGGCTCCTGCAGACATCAACGAGTGCCTGGTCAACAACGGGGGCTGCGACCACTTCTGCCGCAACACCGTGGGCAGCTTCGAGTGCGGCTGCCGGAAGGGCTACAAGCTGCTGACCGATGAGCGGACGTGCCAAGGTGAGCGAGCCCTCTGTGCCAGGACATCCCCAACCTCCCGGGCTCCTGCAGGCTCCGGGGAGAGGAAGTGAGTGCAGGGGTGGGATTGCCCACCCTGCTGGTTGCACCTGAAGGAACAGGTAGTTTTGGGGCCCTCAGCATGTGCTCCTGCCCTCCCTGCCTTCCCTGTCCTTTGAGTCCAGGGGCTCTTAGAAGCCATCCAGTCCAGCCTGTCCCTTTTATGGATGGAAAACTGAAACCCTGGGAGAGAGCAGCATGGTCCCAGGTGACACAGCCAGTGGGTAGCGGAGCTCATCAGCTCTGTCCCTCCCTGCCCCTCCCGGAGGCCCCGGCCGCCTTCATGGCCGCGGAGGTGGAATGCTGCCACCCGGTGGAAGCAGTGGCACATTGCAGGCCCTCTCCTGGGCACCTGCTAGGAGCAGAGGTAATGGGAGGAGAAATCTGGGCAGAAGTCAAGAATCAGAGTCCGGGACAAGTCTAGCAGGCATCCTGGATTCAGTAAAAGCCTGGGGGGTGAGCAGTGGAGAGAGTGGTCAGGGGAGGCTTCCTGGGGATGGGACATTGGAGAAATGCTAGAAGGGTGATAGGCATTTCCCAGGAGGAGCCAGGAGAGGTAAACCCACCCAGGACGTGGCACTATTAGACTGAGGCAGTTTGGGAGACCATGTGGAGCCCTGTGGGGCTGGATGAGGCCATTGAGAATAGAGGGGTGCCCTGTGGGGCTGGCTTTGAGAGGGAGTGCTGAGGGAGGGGCCAGCTCCATCATGATTGCTCTGTTTATGGTCTATTCATTTAGTTTCCATGGGGTTCCGGTAGCTGCAGGCTGCACCTGGCTGAGTCTGGCCATGGGACTTGCAGCTTCTGCATGTTGTTGCAGCTCAGAGCCTGGCTCTGGGGCAGCTTGAGGCCCTGAGGGGTAAGGGATGTGTTCCTAACAGGAAGGCAAGAGCAGACGGCTGGTGGGGGAGGGTCCAGGGCCAGCCTATCCTGGGTTCATCACGACTGGGGCCAGCATCCTTCTCTTAGCACAAGGGTCTGCTGGGAGCTCAGTATCTGTCCAGACCTTGAACAGGGCCCCTCTGCACTTGACTCTGTTTCTCCATCTGCCTTGTGGGGGGCCAAGGGAAGGCCCTTGACTTTGCATCCCCAGCTGCTCTGTGAGAGAGATGGGCAGCTGCTGAGGAGGCGGCGCTGACATGTCTGCTTCTAGTCTCTGGCTGTGTCTTCTACATCCTTCTGGACTCATCTCTAAGGCTCTGGGGCTCTGGCCATGCCCCTCCCTTGCTCCAGCATCACCCTGGGCTCCCCAGCTCCAGCAGGGATGGGTACAAGCGCCTTTGCTTGACTTTCTGGGCCCTGGAGATAGGGACCCTAGATACCTCCCCAGGCCCCCTGAGCTCCACACAACCTGCTGGGCGCCCTGTGTTGCCACTTCCCAGCTTTTGCCTACAGTACCCTCCCTCACCCTCGTTCCTTCATTCCAAACAAGCATCAGATCATCCCAGATTCCCATCCTAGAAGGGATCACAGCCTCCTTTGAGCAAGCACAGCACAAGTGTTGTAAACACACATATATTATGAATGCATGTAGTCAGATGAGCTAATGTGCTGAGAGAATGAATACAGTTCCCACAGAGAAGCAGGAGCCCCATCAACTGTCCCACAGGAGCGGTTTCCTCAGAATTGACAGCCAGGTCAGACTCGTCTGCTGTGAGCATGTGGTTTATTTCATTCTTTCTGGTAATAAGCACTCTTTCCTTTTTCACCTTGGCTGCCAGGAAACTCAGAATGAAATTCCTCTTACTATCAATGCTGTCTTATTACCCCTTAGAGGTAGCAGATTTCTCCCCCTCCCCCTTTCTGTCTGTGCTGTTTTCCTTATTTTCTCAAGAGACACCTTGGGGTGATAAGAAAACATTTTGGTCAGCAACCAGGAGGCCTGGTTTCATGTCCCAGTTCAGCTGCTTCTGGTGAGCCCGTCAGTTTCCTGCAGCGGTGGGTTAAAAACCAATCCTAATCCCAGTTGACTGTGAGGTATGAAAATGGCAGAAATTTATAATAACCCTTCTATTCAAAATATTCCTACCCTGCCCACCTCCTGAAAAGACATGCGGTGTCTCCTGAACCAGAAATATAAGGTAGTGGAGACAAAAGGGAAAACAGGCGGTGGCAGGAAGCGGGGCCCAGGGCCAGGCCATGCACGGGTGTCCACAGTGCGGCTGAGTGACAGGCCCCGCCCACCCGCCTCACCCTGACACTCCTCCCCAACCTTTGTCTCACTGGCCACAGACATCGACGAGTGCTCCTTCGAGCGGACTTGTGACCACATCTGCATCAACTCCCCGGGCAGCTTCCAGTGCCTGTGTCACCGCGGCTACACACTCTATGGGACAACTCACTGCGGAGGTCTGCAGCCTGCCCGCCTGGGCCACCTCCCCCCCGAGGCACGCGCCTGGCCGCACGGCCACCTGCCCCGCACCCTGACCCTGACCCTGACTCTGATGGGCGGGCCTGGAGGGACTAAGCAAGGCTGAGAATTGGTGGGCAGAGGGGCTAAGCCAGGGGAAAGGCGAGAGAGTGGGGGTGGAGGGCAGCAAATACCACTGGGTGCTAAGCCCTAGCCAGGTTGCGGGCATAGGCCTGAGAAACTGCAGCTATGGGGAACCTCCATCCAGAAGCAAGTGGAAGCCACACAGAGAATCCCATAGGCAGTTCATTCCAGTGGGAGAGGGTGACGACAGAAGGGCCGAGTAGGGAGCCAGTGAGGAATCCTAAAGGAGTGTTTGGGTCAAGATGAGGGGCAGCATGCCTGAGGGGTCAGTATGTGCAAAGGCACTGAGGCAGAGGGACCTAAGGGGATCAACAGGCAGTTGGTGTGGCTCTAGCACGAGATGCAGACGGGGAGGGTACAGGGCTCCGTGAGCCCCGGAGGGGACTTGAGGTTTATTCCCAGTCAGAAGAGAAGCCACTGAGGCTTTAATCGGGCTGTGACATGGCCAAGTTCCTGTAATGAGATTGCTCTGGCCCGTGTGTGTAGGGGAGTACGACCCCGGGCAGCAGTGGGGACACGGCTCCAGACGTGGGAGCTAGAGCTGCTGCAGCTCAGGCAGGGTGGGGAGGGACGTAGAGAAGGTGAAGGTTCTAGATGGATTTAGGAGCCACAGACTTGGGACTTGGAGATGTACAGGCATGGAAGAGAAGGCCCCGCTGTCCGGGGTGTCTTTCCTGTGACCTACGAGTAGCCACCCTGTGTGCTGGGCAACCGTGAAGGCCCGGTGGGTGAGGCAGGGGGTGGCACCTGGGGTGGGCTGCAGAATCTCCTGCAGGGACTCCCCCAAATCTGGCACCAGCTTCCCTGGGCCTGCCACTCCCCGAATGCAGGCGGCCAGGGTGCTCACAGTCCTGCGCCCCAGTGTGAATGCCATCCAGCCCTTCCCTCCCACTCCAGTGTGCGCTCTTGGCCCTTGGCGGTCGGAGGAAGGAGGGCCTTGGAGGTGGCTTCCTTCAGCCTGGTGCCCATTGTATAGGAGGGAACATCTAGGAGGGGCCTGGCCCAAGTCCCACAGTAAGATGAGGCCTCACGGTTCCTGGGCCAATGCTCGCTCCTGCCCCACAGACCTGATGGGAACTTTAACTTTGTACCTCGGCTCTACCCCTCCCCAGTCTAGGTAGGAGGGATGTGTGTTGGGGTGTGTGGGAGCCTTGTGAGCACACACATGTGCATGCTTGTGTGTGTGATGTGTGCAGCCACATGTTTGCGTGCAGTGACAGCTTCAGGCTAGGGTCGAGATTCTCAGCCCTCCTGCCCGAGGGGTGGCCTGGGCCACCCAGCCATGCCACCCCTGCCCTTACCCGGCCTGTGCTTCCAGACGTGGACGAGTGCAGCATGAACAATGGGAGCTGCGACCAGGGCTGTGTCAACACCAAGGGCAGCTTTGAGTGCCTCTGCCCCCCGGGGAGGCGGCTCCACTGGAACCGGAAGGACTGTGTGGGTGAGTGTCCTGGAGCGGACATCAGCCATCGCTGGGACCCGCCCTTCCCCCTGGTGCCTGGTGGGAGGGGAGGGCAGTGACCTCTGCAGGTGGGTGAGCGAGGCAGGTGCTCTCTGCTGCTGGCATATGGCTGATGGGAATGAGGCTTACAGAAGCAGAGGGGACACGGGTGGCAGAGCACGCTGGGTGTCAGCCAGGACACAGACAGACCTGTGGAAGAAAGGGGAGATCTGGGGGTCAGCTTCTGCAGCCAGACTGAGCTCGCGGAGCTGAGTGCTTAGAGGGAGTGTGGGGGAGCCTCAGCTCCCCCATCTCCCCCTTGTCCTGCCAAGGAAGCTGGTGCGGGGAGGGGTTCCTGGAGTGCAGCAGCATCAGAGCCTGGATGGGGAGCACCTGGGAGCATCCAGGTCTCTGCACACCCACCCTGCCCAGGCTGCCAGCCCCTCAGTGTCAGGTAGGGCAGGGACGGGGCCTCCGGGAGTTCAGGGTCCTTCGTCCTCTGCTGGTGTGCTCTGGGTGAGTGGGCACCTCTGGGCTGAGTTCTGGACAGTCCCCCACATTCACATACACATACTGACCACCCACTGTGTGCCAGGCCTGTTCTGGGCTCTGGGACTGTCCCAGAGTGGCAGAGTGAGCCCTTCGGCTCTGAGTGGGAACCCACCCGTCTGCTCTGAGCTCTTTGAATGGCCAGAGGCTGCTGCACCCTGGCCTGATCCCCTCACCCTCCTTTGCCCCCCACCAGCCTCACTGAGCTCGTGGCCGTGGTCCCCCCACCTCAACACAGCAGGTATGTGTACTCCTCTTGACCTGGAGGGTCCAAAAGATCTGCTCTGGATATAAACACTCAGGAAGTGCAGACACACAAAGCTGAGTTTCTCCTTCAGGAAAGGGTAAGAGGAGAAGGGAACCAGACACCACAGCTGGTTCATTAACCAGCAGAAGAAATAGTGGGTACACAGTACGCATTATACGGCATGTGGTCCCCCCAGATTTAAAGGCGGTGCTAGTACAGAACCTGAAGAGGCTTCAGCCACATCAGCCAAGGCTGTTGTTGCTCTGAGGCAACAGGGACGAGCCTTGGTCACGGGTGTTTGTCACATTGCTGAGTTTGTACCCTGAGAGTGTGGCCTAACCTTTGTGCATTCATCCCGGCAACAACAATAAAAAACGTGTACACGATCTAGAAAGTCACATTTGGGACTCTTCCTGGGTGTTCCCCTAATGTGGCAGCTTCGCCCAGGGTTCTGTGTTTGAATCACATGTGATACGGGTCTGTGGGGGCCTGTATCAGCTAGAATTTGAATCGTGCAGGAGAACTTTTTGAGACTTTTAAAAGTAGCGTCCTAGGGATATTTTAGCTGGCAGGTCCATTTGCAAAGTAGATCCCTCCCCACTGCACTCCGGACTTTGACCAGAGAAGGGAGGCTGTCTTCTGACAATAGTCCCAGCCTGTAACTTGGGGAAAAGGGAAACTCATTAGACAGTCCCACCACTTGAGTGTCTACAGTATACCAAAGCAAGTCCAGCCGAGGCCCCGAGGCCTTCCACAGCCCTCTCAAACGGGACTCTTTTTTTTTTTTAAATATATCTTTATTAATTTCAGAGAGAGAGATGGAAACATCAATGATGAGAGAGTCATTAATCGGCTGCCTCCTGCACGCCCCTGACAGGGGATGGAGCCTGCAACCCGGGCCTGTGCCCTGACCAGGAATCGAACCACGATCTGGATCCTAGGTGGATGCTCAGTCCCTGAACCACGCCCAGCTGGGCTGTCTCTATTCTTTCACGTCTCCAAGCAGACATTCTTATGTGAAGGCTAACATGCTTTTTCCCTCATTTTTACTACCGCCAGTCTACTTGCCTTTCCTCTTACTTTCTAGGCGATTTTAGATGTTTCTCTGCAGGCTGCGATAGTCTCTGGTGGTGAATTGTTGGTATTCGTGGTGGAGTCAGGTTTCACCTACATACAAGCCAAGCGAGCCAGCCTGCTAGTTTCACGGGTGCTGGCCAAGGTCCTGAGACTGCTGGGGCAGAGACAGGGACTTCACAGCCCGCAGCACTGCCAGCCAGCGGCGCTGCGCGGTCTGCGTGGTTCCCCTCACCTGCCCCCCAGGTCCCATCCACCTGCGCAGTGCTGCGCAGGCCGTGGGTTTGTATCCCACGGAGGAACACTCAGCTGGGAAACTCCCTGCTGTCACGGTGAACAGGAGCCAGCCTGCCCCCTGTCTCAGGGAGATGTCAGCTCCTCCCTAGAAGTTGCTCAGGAAAGAGCTTTGCATTCTCCCGTCGCCAGCAAGAGCATGAGGATGCTCCAGGCTCCGTGGTTTGCCTCTTCCTTCGGGAGAGTGGCCCCCCTGCTGTGGTGTTATCTGTGGTTACTAACGGTTCCCTTTGGGAATTTGGAGAAAGTACTGGGAGCTCTTGGAAGCCACTCTCCCTGGAAGTTTGTGGGTGGCTGTCCTGGTTCTTCACCTGCGACAGCGCGGCTCTTCCAGATCCCTCTTGGGTTGCATTATCTGCAGGTGTTTTTATTGGTACTTTCTGGCTCTTTGGGAACAGAAGACTTTTGGTCTTGTGTTTATTTGGGGTTGCAGGTGTTTTATCCAGAGGGCCCTGAGTTTGCTTATGTTTCTGGACTATTTACTTTCTGAGGCTCCTTGAAAATGTTCAGGTACATGGTGAAGGTCCTCCAGGTTGGCAGTTTCCCGCTCTAATCTGTTTCTGACAGAGCCCCTCCTCCAACCTGCTCGCTGGAACAGCTCCACCGCTGAGTTGGGCTCAGATGCAGCGCTTCCAGAAGTCTATTCATTGAAGTCTGGTGTCTTTGACCCATTAGACACCTGTAAAATCAGTTCTGATGTGTCCCAAACTGTAGGACTCTCCATCCTTTCCTAGGAGCCTGGGGAACATTTTGATCCTCAGAAGATAAATGAGCACATAGGAGAATCTGCAGAGCTCAGTGTTGGACATTGCAGACCTGACGGACATGTCCAGGCTGCCCCAGAGAGGGTCCTGGTGGCCCTGCCATGCTGAGAGGCTGGTCACTGCCAAGAAGCCCTTGTCCATTTGCAGTTGTTCCTTCCCAGCTGGGGACAGGGTGTGACCCTCCTCATGGGCAGGGGACCACTGTTGGGAAAAGGGAGCAAGCCAGCTCTCTGAGCCCAGTGTCCCCACACATCCAAATGGATGTGGACACCACCATCTCCCAGCCCCTTCCCACCAAGACGGTCAGGCCCTGGGACAGATGTGGTGGGAGTCCCGCCCCAGAGAGCCTCCACCTTGGCACCTCCAACCCGCTCTCGTGTCTTCCTTCTCTGCAGACACAGGCAAGTGCCTCTCTCGGGCCAAGGCCTTGCCCCGGGCCCAGCTGTCCTGCAGCAAGGCGGGCGGCGTGGAGAGCTGCTCCCTCATCTGCCCAGCCCACACACACTTCACTCCAGGTAACCCAAGGCTGTCGCGGGCTGGGGGGGTGGGGGGCTTCCTTCCCTGGAGTCTGGCCCCTGCTGTTCTCCAGGAAGGGGCCTGACCTAGGAACGAGGCCCAGTCCTGACCACTGAGTAGCTCTGGGCCACTGTCTGGTTCTCTGGGGGCCACAGTGTTCATTGCAACAAGTGCAGCGGGCTCATTCCTGCCCTGCTGCTTAACCTGTAGTCAAGTAGTGGAAATGAATTGACATAGGGTCAGTCCTGACCTTCACCTCATTCAGTCCCCCCTCTGAGGCCCCTGGGACCTGGGGACACTGGAAAGAGAGGGGCGCCCAGACACACCTCACCACTGGCCTCTCCGCAGACTCGGAAAACAGCTACAGCCTGAGCTGCGGAGTCCCCGGTCTCCAGGGCAAGATGCTGCAGAAACGCAACGGCACCGGCTCCAGTGCCGGGCCCAGCTGCTCAGGTAGCTCCTGGCCTGTCCCTGTGCACTCACCTGGGTGACCCTTTGACCTTGTGTCCAGCTCCATGCTGGGGGGGACAGGGGCAGGGCCCAGAGAAGAGCTTCCTGAGTGCTAGGTAGCAGGCATGCTGCAGTCTGGGACACATCCCAGCCCAGGGGCAGTGGGTTGCAGAAGGACCTCTCTTACTGGAGGCTCCAAGCCTCAGCACCGGACTGGTTCAAGGACATAGGTGCTGAGTTTCTGGGACTCTGTTTCAGTGGAGTGAGTCCCATCCACTGTGGCCATTAGGTTCTAAAGTTCATGAGTCAGAGCCACCCTGGAAGGAAGGCCCTGCCCCAGAAGTGCAGCTGCAGGTCACTCCAGTGCCTCTGGGACCAATATGCCAGGGCCTGGGCAGCGCCTTGCAAGCAGCTACCACCAGCAGGAGCAGGGCCTGTGTGTCAGGCAGCTATCCCACCAGCCTGTGTCAGCACCTTTCCTGTTCAGGATGCTGGGTTCAATGACAGGGGCCTCTGTGTGTGTCTGACGCACTGTGAGGTGATTCTGAGCGTCTGTGATTGTTGGATTCCTTAGTCCACGGGACTCTGATTGCTTTTTGAAGGCAGTAGTGGTCTGGACATCTGTTATTTCTACTCTCCTTCCCTTCCTGGCCTCCCTCTCTCCTCCACCCCTTTCCTGAGAGCTCAGGCCTCGTGGTGCTGGGGCTGGGGTGGGGACAGGCCTCCCTTTCCTCCTCCACAGAAGATTCTGGCTGGATGGCCCCTGGCTCGAGCCTGACCCCACCACCCACACTTTCGCCTTTCTTAGGCCTTGCAGGGAGAGAAATGAGGCAGCAGAGGGGCCCCCACCCAGCCCCTGGCAGCCCCCTCACACTCAGGCACTCCCTCTGCGGCCCTGGTCCCCACCACCCCCCTGCCCACAGAAGAGACCACTACCTGGGGGGCTTTGGCTTTCCCCAGGTGCCCCTACCACCCCCATCAGGCAGAAGACCCGCTTCAAGATCCGTGATGCCAAGTGCCAGCTCCGGCCCCGCAGCCATGAACCAGCAAAGGAGACCTCAAGGCAGCTGCTGCTGGGTGAGTGGGCCGCCCTGGTACCAACCCACACGGGGCTGTGGAGGTCCCCATGCCCGGGAGCTGAGAGCCAGGGTCCAGGAGGGCTGGGTCTGCAAGGGCAGAGCCTCATTGTCCTCACCGCCATGGCCCCTCAGGCCCAGCAGCCATGCCTGGCGCACTGCAGACAGCGGCGGGTGGCCCTTAGGAAAGCTGTCAGCAGGAAGTGCAAAACTTGGGTCCCCAGCATCCCTGCCTCACCCAGGGTTAAACAAGCTCCCCAGGGCAGAGCTTTCTGTCTGGCTGTGTCCAGTGGCCGGAAGCTCAGGACTCACTCAGTACTTCGTTCTTCAGTAAGGGCATCCAGGCAGGGAACGGCCAGGGAGACTTGGCGGGAGGGGGCAGGAAGGAAGCACCTTTGCTCTTTCCATGAAGACTCCTGAGCTCCCCAGGCCTGGCCGACCTCAGCATCACAGGCCCTGCCTGGCTGAGCCACCTGGGCTGCAGCTGCGCCCGGAGTATGTGGGAGGTGCCTCCCTGTGATGGGCTCCAAGGGCTGGGCAGGGCTCACTTAGCCACCAGCCCCTCTGGGAAACTCGAGCCAGCCCTGGCCTTCTCCAGCCTCAGCCTTCCCTTGGACAATTAGGCCAGGCAGAGCCATTGCCCACAGCCATCTGTGTGCATGGCTAGGGAGGACCCTGCTCCCTGCCCCAGTTTGCCACAGCGGCCCCTTCCTTATCCAGAAAACTGCCACGTCACCTTTGTGACCCTGAAGTGTGACTCCTCCAAGAAGAGACGCCGTGGCCGGAAGTCCCCATCCAAGGAGGTGACCCACATCACAGCTGAGTTTGAGGTTGAGATGAAGGCGGAAGAGGCCTCAGGTGGGTACTGGGTTCCTCATGGGCTGCTGAGGGCGTCGTGGAGGACAGTGTACCCGGAGAGTGGTGGAGGTCTATAGGCATGGTGCCGGGCTCCCACCCCAGCCACCTACTAGAGGTTGAGGCCAGCCTGGTAGGCGGGACTAGCAAAGTTGCTGCCTAGAGCCCAGGGTGGAAGAGGAGACCCAGGGTCATGAGAGGAGCAGGGTTCGGGGCCCACAGGGAGAGCCACACCCTTCTCCCACCCTCTCTGCCCTCACCAGGGCTTGGAGGGCTAATACCACAGCCTTTCCAGAACAGTTGAGCCAAAGACCTGTCTTCCCAGGTTTGAGAGAGGGCTTGTAATTCTGGGTTGTGTTTCATACCAACACCTTCCTCTTGTCTATAAATGGGCATTGAGTGGTGAGAGAGGAGTTGAGATCTGTCAGCACATGTGGGCTGTGTGTGCCTAGCCCCTGGACACTGTGGGACACAGGGAGCAGACCACGGACCCCCACTGGCGGCACTTCCTGCCACTGGGAGGCAGATGTGCTCACAGGCCTGCCAGTGCTGGGGAGACACTAGGTGGCAGGCGGGAGAACAAATGGGGCGCAGAGCTGAAGCCTCTGCCCTAGGGAGGGGCCTGCGAAGTCTTCCTAAGAGAGAAGCTGTTTGATTCAGGACTTGAAATCGAAGTTCACCCAGTGGAATGGCATGTAGGCAAAGGGAACGGAATAGGCAAAGGCACAGAGGTTGGAGAGAGCAAGATGTGTCCAGGAAGCAGTGTGTAAGGCAGGCTGTCTAGAAAATGGAGTTCACAGCAAGTGTTGGCGTGCTGGGGGTTAGGGCTGGCCAGGCAGGCAGGGACCATGCCATGAGAGGCCTTGAATTCAAGGCCAGAGTGCTGGACATTCTCCTGGGAACAGTGGCAGCCTCAAAGGTGTGTGAGTGGCAGGGAGGAGCACCCGTCAGTGGAGTGTGCCCTGGGGAGGTGATGTGTTGCAGTGACAGAGGCCTGGTTTCACTCAGATCTGCTGCGTGGCCTTAGGCAGGTCATAGCTCTGGGACCCTGTCTCCCCATCTCTCAGATGGACACAGCGATGCTGCCTCGCCCCAGGGCTGCTGCATCAATGTACTCCAAGCAGCAGCCTGGCCCAGAGCAATGCCCAGCAGAGGGGGGGAAGCCTGGGGAAGAGGCAACTCCTGGGGGTACTGCGAGTGACAGTCTTTCCTGCCCCTGTAGATAGCTGCGAGGCAGACTGCATGAGGAAGCGGGCAGAGCAGAGCCTGCAGGGTGCCATCAGGACTCTGCGGAAGGCCATCAGCCGGCAGCTGTTCTCCGTCCAGGTCGCCGGCACTGAGTACGAGGTGGCCCAGCGGCCGGCCAAGGCCCCAGAGAGCCAGGGGGCATGTGGCACAGGCCAGGTGCTACAGGACAGCAAATGTGGTGAGTCCCTGCCCACAGCCACTTTCTCCTTCCTTCCTTCCCACAGCCCAGGAAACAGCACACGAGAGAGGGGACAGAGAAACACAAGGTCTGCCAGGGAGGAGCAGTGTGGCACTCATCACAGTGGACGGCTTGGGGCCAGTCTGTGTGGTCAGAGGCTTCCCAGAGGAGCAGGGTGGGCTGAGGGCAAAGAAGAAGCAGAGCCAAGATGCACAGGAGGCAGAGGGCCACCCAGGGATGCAGCGCAGCCAGCAGGTCCAGGTGAACGAGGCTGGTGACGTGACCAGGCCTGCTGAGAGGAGATGGGTCTACAGGCAGCCCCCGTGGCTGAGTGGGCTTAGTTTACGTGGGGAAAGAAGGCAGGCGGTGAGCAAGCGAGCACACCATGGGCAAGGTGCGGCATCAGGCCTTGCCGGCGGGGCTGCTCTGGGTGCCGTGGGATCCACCTAACCCACCCGCTGCTATGGGAAGGCTGAGTGGAGGGTGGCCAGCGGAGGAGAGGCAAGGTGAGAGAGGGGAGAGCCCAGAACCAGGGGGCGGCAGGACGGGTACAGGAATGAGACACACCCAGAGTACACCTGCCGAGGGCTGCTAGGGAGAAAGGCTTCAAGGAAACACAAAGAGCTTGGGCTTCCGGGCCAGAGGTGGCATCACTTTCTGCTCTGGTGCCTACCACATGGGGGAGAGCAGGGGCGCCGGGTTTGGACAGAATAACTGTGGCCCGTCCAGAAGGCAGTTGGAATGCAGGCTGAGGGCTCAGAGCTACAGACAGGGTATGGACAGAGAGAGAACAGGGGTCCCAGTGGAGCCTGGACCACAGCACTTATGAGAAGGCAGAGGCAGAGGGCTCTGCTAAGGACCCTGAGCAGGAGCAGCCTGGATGGGACATGAACCCAGGTCTGGCCTCCAGGGTCCTCACAGACGGCCCCCCTGGCTCTCACCCCGGCCCATCTGTGGTGGGTCTGTGCTGCTCTGTGCCCTTTGAGGCACAGGGACTAGGGCTGTGCCCTGTCTGGTGGAACAGAGCCCAGGCCTGAGGCCAGGAGACAGACCACCTGGCCACCTGCAGTCTCTCCCCTTTGCCTCTACAGTGGCCTGCGAGCCTGGCACCTACTTCAGCGGGGATTCTGGACAGTGTGTGCCGTGTGCGCCGGGGACCTACCAGGATGGGGACGGCCAGCTCAGCTGCATGCCGTGCCCCAGCAGCGACGGGCTCGGCCTGGCTGGTGCCCGCAACGTATCCGAATGTGGAGGCGAGTGTGGGCCCTGCCTGGAAGGAGAGACTGGGGCAGAGGCAGGGCACCTCCTGTCCCCACCGAGGCTCCCAGGGCAAAGGCCTGAAGCCTTATGACATTTTGTAAAGCTCTATGCCATTCGCAGAGCTGTCCTGACTGGTGCAGCTGCACTTACAGCATGCACTGCAGACCACAGCGTCCACATGGCAAAGGGTATGCAGTTAGTGCACACTGGGCTGCACTCATGCACCCCACAGTTTGGAAAGGACTTTACAGTTTACAAACACATGGTCATTTACAGGTTACCTTGTGGTTAATGCTAGAGGCATATGGTGCTTTATGGTTGGCCAAACGTGTACACTTTGTGGAGTGCACCGTCACTGTGGACATGCTTTATGGCGGGTGCCACATACTTGGGCAAGAACCACTTGACACAGAACTTTACAGTTTGCCCTGTAGCTGGTTTGGAAAGCCTGTGGTCAGTTTACTAAACACAGTTTGGTTTGCAAAGAGCTTTTCCATTTAGTACCCCACTTGAACCTCGTCTGAGAAATGGGCTCAGAGCCTTGCCTCCCTTCCTGGGGTTCACCCAAGAGATGGGTGGGGAAAGGCATGCCTGCGAGGGTAAGGGGGATCCTTTGGGTGGTGGAGACCTCCAGCCTTTTGTGAGGGCAGAAGATATCAGAGCCCAGGCCTGAGCTCTGCAAGCTGGCCACTGCCCTCTGGCCACTGCCCTCCCCTCAGGAGCTCTGTCTCTGCTCCCAGTGGGGATGGCGACTGGTAGGGAGCTCAGAGTGGCTACTGCTGGGAGCAGAGAGTCCAGAGTCTGGGCTGAGAGGGCACCAGCTCATCCCTCAGTCAATGCCAGGTACATTCTCATCCTGCCTTTCTGCTAGATTGTGTTGTCCCGTCCCTTTGTCCCTACTGTGCCCTGGGGGACTCACTCCCTCATCCCTTGCTCTGGCCCAGCCCTGCAGAGGACAAGGTAGCATCCCCTGGAGCTTCAGAGACCAGTTCCTCCTGTGGAGCCCTGTGCGGCCTTCCCTTGGGGAGAGTCCCTCTGAAATAAGTGACCTCCCACCACCTCCCACCTCCACGCATGGGGCCCACACTCCCAGCTCAGCAGCCCAGCCGCTTGCTCTTCCTGCTGGTGGCCACAGGACCAGGCCATGGGCACCCAGGCTTTCTCCCCCAGTCTTTCCCCCCACCCCACCCTTGGTGCCCTGGTGCCCTTCCCAGGAGCAGAGGAGGGCCGAAAGCAGGGCTGGACTCAGGTCCCCCTCCTGCCAACCTGAGTGAGCCGGGACCTCTGTCTTCCAGGGCAGTGCTCTCCGGGCTCCTTCTCCACCGACGGCTTCCGGCCCTGTCAGGCCTGCCCTGTGGGCACGTACCAGCCCGAGCCCGGGCGCATGGGCTGCTTCCCCTGTGGGGGCGGGCTGCTCACCAAGCATGAGGGCACAGCCTCCTTCCAAGACTGCGAGGCCAAAGGTGAGGGCACCCCACTCGCCACAGGATGGCTCAGCTGCTCAGGGACCATTTCCTGCCCCGCAAACTTCCAGGGTCAGAGGAGGAGCCTGGATCCATCAGGCGGTGGACACTGATGGCCAGCACTGTGTCATACACAGGGACAGGACATCAGGGGTCCAACACAGCCTGTAGCTACAATCTGGAGCTCTGAGCCTCCCCCCCCCCCCC